CGAACCAGGAAAAAAAATGAGGAAAATATTTTTCAAAAATTTTATTTATTTATTTATTTTTTTTTGGGAATGACTCTTTTTGGAAAAAAAATCCCACACGGATTTGGGGCTGGAGGAGCCAAATTTCTTGGCAAAGGGAAATTTCTGTGCTTGGAATTGGTGCCAGAAAAGGCTCCGGGGGTGAAACCAGAGCTTGGGAGGCTCCTGAAAAATGAATGGATCGGGAGCTCTCAGATTCCAGCGCTGCCACCGGATCTGGAGCTGATGGAATCTGGCTTGGTTTTTCCAGGCCTGGTGGAATGAGAAATTCGTCCTCCAAATCCCAAAGAAATCCAGGTTTGGGCTGATTTTGTCCTAGGAATCATCCTCCAAATCCCAGAAAATAAAATCCTGGTTAGGGCTGATTTTCTCCTGGGAATCATTTTCCAAATCTCCCAAAAATTCTGATTTGGGCTGATTTTCTCCTGGGAATCATCCTCCAAATCCCCCAAAAAAATCTTGATTTGAGCTGATTTTCTTCTGGGAATCATCCTGCAAATTCCCCCCAAAAAATCCAGGTTTGGGCTGATTTTCTTCTGGGAATCATCCTTCAAATGCCCAAAAAAATCCTGGGCTGATTTTATCCCTGGAATTCCAAAGACATCCAGGTTTGGGCTGATTTTCTCCTGGAAATCATTTTCCAGATCCCCCCAAAAAAATCCTGATTTGAGCTGATTTTCTCCTGGAAATCATTTTCCAAATCCCCCCAAAAAAATCCTGATTTGGGCTGATTTTCTCCTGGGAATCACCTTCCAAATCCCCCAAAAAATTCTGATTTCAGTTAATGTTCTGCTGGGAATCATCCTTCTTATCCCCAAAAAATCCTGGTTTGGGCAGATTTTATCCTGGGAATCATCCTCCAAATTTCCCCCAAAAATCCTGATTTGGGTTGATTTTGTCCTGGGAATCATCCTCCAAATCCCAGAAAATAAAATCCTGATTTGGGCTGATTTTATCCTGGGAATCATCCTCCAAATGCCCAAAAAAATCTTGATTTGAGCTGATTTTCTTCTGGGATTCATCCTCCAAATTCCCCCAAAAATCCTGGTTTGGGCTGATTTTTATCCTGGGAATCATCCTCCAAATCCCAGAAAATAAAATCCTGGTTTGGGATGATTTTATCCTGGGAATTATCCTCCAAATTCCCAAAAAAATCCTGGGCTGATTTTATCCCTGGAATCATTTTTCAAATCCCAAAAAATCCTGATTTGGGCTGATTTTCTCCTGGGAATCACCTTCCAAATCCCCCCCCAAAAAAAATTCTGATTTCAGTTCATGTTCTGCTGGGAATCATCCTTCTTATTCCCAAAAAATCCTGGTTTGAGCTGATTTTCTTCTGGGATTCATCCTCCAAATTCCCCCAAAAATCCAGGTTTGGGCTGATTTTATCCTAGGAATCATCCTCCAAATCCCAGAAAATAAAATCCTGATTTGGGATGATTGTCTCCTGGGAATCATCCTCTAAATGCCCAAAAAAATCTTGATTTGAGCTGATTTTCTTCTGGGAATCATCCTGCAAATTCCCCCCAAAAATCCTGGTTTGGGCTGATTTTATCCTGGGAATCATCCTCCAAATCCCAGAAAATAAAATCCTGGTTTGGGATGATTGTCTCCTGGGAATTATCCTCAATATCCCCAAAAAATCCAGGTTTGGGGTGATTTTTCTCCTGGGAATCATCCTCCAAATCCCAAAAAAATTTTCTGATTTGGGCAGATTTTNTGCCTGGAGGGATCTGAGGGCTCTGTGAAATTCCTGGTGTTCCATTCCTGCTGTTCAGCAACACCAGGAGTTTTTCCATGGATTTTCCTTGATCCAGTGGCAGATCCAGCCAAAATCCTTCCCCTGCCTCCAAATGATTTCCTGGAAAATCCAAGAAAGTTGCAGGTGGGATCTGAGCTGGGGACCTGGGCAGGGTTTGGGTGACACTTCCGGGGATCTGCTCCTGCTTGGACACGGACTTGGAGCATCCCAGGGATCCCTTCCCATCGGGAATGTGCTCAGGAAAAGGAGTGGGAATGGGTAAAACTGGGAGCTGCCACATTTTGCTCCAAGAGAAAACAGGGATTGAATCCCCCTGGAATCTGAGAGCGCCGGGATCCAGGCTGGGAACATCCCTGAAGGTTCTGATCCATGTTTTGGGCCTTTGTCCCTCTGGAGCTGGAGGATTTTCCCTCAGGATGGAGCTGATCCATCCCTAGGGAAGGATCCATGGATCTTCCCGTGATCCTGGATTTTCCCTGGGATCGGGATGAGCCTCCAGAGGTTCCCCCTGCTCCTTCCAGCCCTTGGCTCTTCCCAGCACTCTGCTCTTTTCCAGAAAACATTCCTGGGAATTCACCCACCCCACGGTGTTTTGGGCATGGATTTCTGGGTGCTCAGCCTTCCAGCTGTCCATCCTGGGGGAGAATTCTGGGAATGGGAGCACATCTGGAGCAGCTTTCTGCTCCCAGGGATCCCAGCTGTTATCCCAGCTGTTATCCCAGCTGTTATCCCAGCAGTTATCCCAGCAGTTATCCCAGCAGTTATCCCAGCAGTTATCTCAGCTGTTATCCCAGCTGTTATCCCAGCTGTTATCCCGTGGCCATCTCGGTGCTCCCAAGGTGCCTCCAGGGCTCCTTTTGGTTGAACCTCAAGGGTGGAAGTTGGGTTTGGATCCGTCCCAACCCGGAGGAGGAGCCGCAGGAAAACATGGATGAGGTTTGTCCTCGTTCCAGCCTTGGTGTTCCCAGCATGGCTGGGGTGGGAATGGTTTGGAATGTCACCCAGCTCCAGCAGGATCCCACGCTCCACATGGAATGTGGGCTTTGTCCAGTTTGATTCATGGATATTGAAATTCCCAGTGTCCACCTGGAGAAGCTCAGGTGCTTGGGAAAGCCCCATGGGAATCCTGATGGATTTGGGATCTCCTCCAGCTCTCCTGGAACACCTGGATGTCTCCCAATCCTTGCTCCAGCAGGGAGCACGTCCTGGAAAACCAACCGGCCTGGCAAGTTTGGTGTGGAGAGGGGTGGGATTTTTTGGGATTCCTTCCTTCTGGAGCCACTCTGGGAGCAGGACAGGCTTGGACACGCTCGGGCAGGAGCGGCTTTTCCAGGGAAGAGCTTTTCCCTCTCCTGGATCTCTGCCTGCTCCTCCTTTGGTGCCCTGGGTGAGGAACCCGGGAACGTCGGCAGCACCCGCTGGAGTCAATCCAGGGGATCCCATGGAGCTGCTCCAGGGCTGGGACCTCTGTGCTCTGGGAGAGCTGGGAGTGTTCCCCTGGAGAGGAGAAGCTCCAGGGAGAGCTCAGAGCCCCTGGCAGGGCCTGGAGGGGCTCCAGGAGAGCTGGAGAGGGACTGGGGNGAGTTATTTGGGATGCAGCAGGAAGGGATTTACAGAGTTTGGGGTGTCAGAGGATCCCCCATGGATCCCGAATTTTTTGGGATTTGCTGGGACAGGGGATCTGGCCCTTGCCAGCCCTCAGCCCCTCATGTGCAGCCTCTGGGATGTTTGGGGTGCTGCTCCTGGGACAGGGTGGAATTCCCAATCCCACTAGGAATGTTGGACTCCATCCCAAGGCTTCTCCAACCTCGACAATTCCACAATTCCAGAACTCTTTTCCCATCAACAGTGGAGGAAATTCTTGCCAAAAACCCCATTCCAATGATTTTCCTTCTTTTCCTGGTCCAGGATCTCCCTGTTTCCTGCCAGGGAGGGTGAATTCCTAAAAAATCCCAGCAGAAAATCCCCAGGATTGGATTTCCCTGCTGCCATTCCCATCTCCATGGCAATGCACACAGAGATTTCCCTAATTCCCCTTCTCCATTAAAAAAGGATTAAAAAAAATCTCCTTGGGATCCCAAAGCCCATCCCAGGCTCCTTTCATCTCCTGCAATCCCAGCTGGATTTGCCCTTTTGTGGTGGAATTTGGGATGGGATCCGTGGAAATGAGCGGTGACACTTTGGGATGAGCTCAGAATTCTGCTGGGCCAGAATTCCCAGTGGGAATTCTCTGTGCCTTCTCCTGCTTCCAGCATGGGATGCTCTGGTGGGAAGGACCTTCAAGCTNGAAAATCCAGATCTGGGAATCTGGAGCTGAAACTCTGGAGCTGCTCTGTGCAGGCTGGAATGTTGCCTTTGCCTTTTATTGGATGTCTCCTCTCCTTCCCTAGGATTTGGCAAACTTGGCTCCCAGGAAACCTGACTGGTGAGTGCCTGTGGAATGCTGCTCCTGGGAAAAGGGGTTTGGAGTCAAAACAGGGGGAGGTTTCCAACACCTTGGGGTTGTGCTGGAAATATCCAGGAAAACCTGAGCCGGGGGTTAAAAATGCCAGGAAAATCCTGTGGGAGGTTGGAATGAGCTGATCTTTAAGGACTGTTCCAACCCTGAGCATTCCATGATTCCATGGAATTGGAAAACCCTCCTGGCTGTGGAGGAAGACACAATTCCCTTTTCCTGCTGGTTCTTTGGAATGCTCATCACTGAGGGATGGGTTGGTTTTGGAGCATGTAGGAGAGAGAAGGAATCTCCACTGGGAAAGGTGGGCCCTGCCTGGCCATGGAATTGTCCTGACCTTGTGGCTCTCCTCTCAGGGATTTGAAGCGGGATGTGTCCAAGAAGCTGGAAAAGCTGGAGAAGAGGACCCAGAGAGCCATCGCGGAGCTGATCCGTGCGTTCTGGAGCTGTGGGAACGGGGTGGCTCATTCCAGAGGGATTCCCTGATCCGTGCTGGGATCCATGCAGGGAGGGATTGGTGGTGTTTGATCCCTTCCCAAGTGGATCTGGGAAGCTGTTGGTGCCAAGGAGCTTCCCAAGGAGACTCCAGGAGCACTTGGGTTGTGCCAAGGGAAGGGGTTTGGGTCACTCCCAATCCAACCCATCCATCCCTTCTGTCTCAGTTTGGAGAGACAGGAGCCTGCAAGGGAAGGCAGGAGCCTCCCCTGAAATGGAGAATGTAAACCCTCCCCACCCCTCCAAATTGCTATAAATTTTAAATTAAGGGGCTCTCGGGCAAAAATACGGGAGCAGGGAATAACAGTTCTTTGATAGGAAAAAAAAAAAAGGATAAAATAACCAATGCAGTGCACTGGAACAACAGTGCCAGAGTCAGAACCCAACCTGACACCCTGTGGGTCAGGGTGTTGGCAGCATTCCCATTGGAATTGTGGCTCAGCCCTCCTGCAGTGCCAGGGGTGGCTCTGCTGGAGCAGGATCCTGGAGAAAGGTGCAGTCTCTGCCTCTGAAGATCCAGGGAAAGGAGAGGCAGCTGCTGTTCCTCTGGGGAATCCAGTGCAGAAGCCGTGCTGGTGTTCCAGAATCTCCAGATTATATCCGGGTAGGAATGCTTGGCTGGTGTTCCAGAATCTCCAGATTNCCCAACATTTTTCCCAACATTTTTCCCAACATTTTTCCCAACATTTTTCCCATTTTTTGGCCACATCCTGCTTTATTCCTGCTCCACTCCAACCTCCCCATCCCCTTTTTTCCTTCCTCATTTTCCTGCAAATTCCCAGCCCTGCAAGCCCTGCTCTTCTCCCAGGAATTCCAGCTGCCATCCCTGATCCAGATTCTCTCTGGAGCTGTGAAAAACTCGGATCCTTTGGATTTTTGTGCGGACCAGGAAGCGGAGCCGCTGCTCCGCCTTTCCCAGGAAAAGGGTGTGGGAGGATTTCGGCCTTTCCGCCTCATTCCCGCGGGGTAAAACGCTGGATTTGGGAATCAGGGACCTGCTGGAGCCTGGAATTCCCATCCCTCAGCTCCCAGCCTTGGAATTGGGCTCCTTGTGCTCGTCAGAGGTGGGAAAAGCGGAGTTAAAAACCCAAGGAAAAGCTTGGAGAGGGACGGGACAAAAATAATCCTGAATTTCCCAGCTTTAGGAAAAGTGAATCCACACTGGAGCCTGCCCTTGGACACGGAGTTATCCTGGGAAGTTGCAGCTCCTGGGCTGGGGGAGGAGCGGGCTTGGGAAACGCGATCTCCCTGAGGAATTCCTCCCTCTGGAATGTCACCAGACAGGTCCGGAGCGCTTTTGTTTCTTAATCCCTGCCTCAAAATCCCTCGGGATTCTGCTCCAGACGGGGGGTTGGGCTCGCCAGGAGAATCCAGGACCTGATTTCCTTCATCCCGGAGCTTGGAAATCTCAGGGAAGGGGTTTAGGACAAGGAAAAGAATGGGGGAAAAAAAATAATCATCCTCCAAATCCCAGAAAATAAAATCCTGGTTTGGGATGATTGTCTCCTGGGAATTATCCTCAATATCCTCCTGGTTTGGGGTGATTGTCTCCTGGGAATTATCCTCAATATCCTCCTGGTTTGGGGTGATTGTCTCCTGGGAATTATCCTCANAATCAGGGATTCCTTCATCCATAGGAAAACCTGTTTTCCTTTGGCTGGTTTGGAGCCCGATGTCGCTGCCTTTTGTGGGGGAAATGTGGAGAACACCAACAAAGCCCCAAACTGACACCGGCGTCAAACCCACCCCTCAGGATCCTCCTGGCCATTCCCTCTGGATTATCCCCCGCCAGCATTCTGGCCTTTTAAAAACTGGGATGTTTCTTTCTGTCCTCCTTGGAAATGCCACCTCCTGCCTCTTTTCCTTTTCATTGGATTCCCTCCTGTGCTCTCCACGCTCCGGCCTTGCAAGTTCTGACATCCCTCTGTCCTATAAAAACCAGGCCCTGGGATGCTCTTGGCCGGGATGAAAGGCACCAGGGTGGGCTGGAATGTGGAGGAGCCTCTGACGGCTCCGTGACACGAAGCAGGAGCGGCCCCGGAGTGCCGGGCTGGTTGGGATTCTCCAACCTGCTGGGATGATGGAGAGGAGCCTTCATCCCGAGCCCTCGGCCCTGCAGGCCGTGGTTTTGGAGCGGTCACACCCGCGGCCAAGGTCTGGCTTTCAAGTGTCCATCTGCTGCAGGGACATGAAAGGAATTCCCGGTTTTTGACAGCTGCTGAAATTCCTTTTGTGGCGTTCCCGGCCGGACTCTGCCCGAGCTGAGGGTTTGTGCTGCCTCTTCCAGCTCTGGAGGGTTTGGGATTGTTGCTGCTTCTGGACATCAACCCCTCTGCTGGGCTCCAGGCCTGACTCTCCAGGCTTCCAAAGCAGGTTCCTGGGATTTTTTCCTTTGGAATTTCTGAGCTGTTGGGACCAGTTTTTTTCCTTAAACATTTGGGATGGTTGGAAAATGCTTGGCAGGTTCCAAGGGCTCTCTGGGATGCTCTGGGATGGTTGGTGGATGGGGTTTGGGAGCCCTGGCAGACCTGTGGCAATGGCAGGGGGAGAGTGGAGGGGTCCCATGGGATGTTTCCTACGGCACAGGATGCTCAGATGTGGGAATTGGGAATCCACACGTTGGAAATGGCTCTGAGGGAGTGGGAAAGGGCAGCTCTTGGAATTCTTTGGTACCTTCCAAAGGGATGAGACCCCTCCACTGCAGAGCTACCCCGGGGCCTGGCCAATGACTCCAATGAATTTCCACTCAGGAAAATTTTCCTGGGATTTTGCCATCCTTTTATCCTCCTGCCCCATTTGTTTGTTGTTCAGCTCTTCCAGCCAACGTTGCAGGAATTGCCTTGGGAAGTTTTCCTGTGTCTGTGGTGGGAAGAATGGAAACTTTGGGTGTTGGAGCACGAGGTGCAGCCTCTGCTGGACACAGCCCGTGGGATTTGCTCCTGCACCTGCTCTGAATTCCCAGGAACAGCAATGAGCATGGGCAGGGAGGAGCACATTCCTGCTGGCATCAGAGCCTGTCACATCCAAAGGCAATTCCTGGAAGGAGAGCTGCTCCTGCTGCCCATGTCCCACTTCCAGCTGCTTTTCTGCCTCTGGCACTCCATGGAAGTTCAGAGAAAGTCGTCACTGGGAGCCGGGACAGCTGGAGCAGGATCCTTTCATCCTCTCCTCTGCCCATCCCGTGTCCATCACTCATGGATGGTGAGTGTGGAACTCGTGTCCCTGTGACCACTGCAAGGTCGTGGAATCATGGAATGCTTTGGGTGGGAAGAGACCTTAAAGCCCATCCAGGGCCACCCCTGCCATGGCAGGGACACCTCCCACTGTCCCAGGGTGATCCAAACCCCAGTGCCCAGCCTGGCCTTGGGCACTGCCAGGGATGCAGGGGCAGCCCCAGCTGCTCTGGGTGGAATTCCCAATTCCCAATCTCCCATCCATCCCTGCCCTCTGGCACTGGGAGCCATTCCCTGTGTCCTGTCCCTCCATCCCTGTCCCCAGTCCCTCTCCAGCTCTCCTGGAGCCCCTCAGGCCCTGGAAGGTCACACTGAGCTCTCCCTGGAGCTTCTCCTCTCCAGGGAACATTCCCAGCTCTCCCAGCCTGGCTCCAGCCCTGCAGCAGCTCCAGCTCCTTGTGCTGCTGGATCTGGGGCAGCTCCTCAGTGGGGTCTCACCTGAGGGGCAGAGGAGCAGAATCCCACCCCTGGATACTCTTTTCCAGCAGAAAATTCCAATTTTACTACAGCACCCCTTTCCTTGGCCCAGCGAGGCTGTTCCTGAAGAGTTTTTGCCACTGGTTCAGAACGGCTCTTCCTGTTAAAATCCCTGTAAAAACAAGAAAACCAGGAGCTGCTTCCAGCTCTGTAGGATTTTTTCCCCCCGCTTGTATTATGATATTTGAAATAAAAACACCCTGGGAGTTCCCATAAAAGTCCTGCTGAATTTATGACGTGATTGTTAGAGAGCAGAAAACGTCCAATAAAAAGGAATTTTCAACAAGAGCCCAACCTCCCACGGCTCTTCCTGGGCTCCATCTGCGGTGGATGGAGCTGGAAGGAACAAAACATCTCAGAGGCGTTTGGAGATTGTAAATGTAACTAAAAATAGCAAATCTGTGCCTTGATTGAGGATTTTCCTCTCCAGGGAATCTGAAGGATTGAGGAAAAGTGGAAGCTGCATGAGCTCATCCCACCCAGGTAGCACCAGGAAAGGTTTTTCCTGAGAGTTTTTCCCTTCCAGCTGCCCGGCTGCGGGATTGTGACCTATTGTTCCCAAAAATAATGACATGAAGAGAAAAGAGGGAAGGACTTGGCATTCCTCCGCGTTTAATGGAGAATTATGGATGTTTGGGAAGCTGAGGGTGGTTCTTGCCCTGGGAACACTTGGCAGAGCCATCCTGGCTTGATGTTTTCCAAAAACGCTTCCCGGGGGCGCTGGAGCTACTGGGATTGTGTCCTTCAGAAAGCCGAGGAGCAGCTGAAGTGTGGAATTCCTTCAGGAGCTGTCCGTGTCTCTGCATGGAACAAAAGCTGGGAGAGCCAAAAACCAGCCTGGCAGCTGGAGATGTAAGGAGAAGGCTCTTCCCAGGCCTGTCAGCACTCGGAGTCAGGAAAGAGAAAAGCTTCCCAGTAGGTCCCCGTTGGAGCTGGGGTCGGGATGTGCCTGGAAAGTTTATTAATGGAAATGCCTGGAAGTCTGGGGGAGGCCTGAAATAGCAGGAAAAGCTTCTCTTTCCATGTTCTCCCAGCTGGAAAATTGGGACAGGTATTTGGGCAGTGGGGTTGTGTTAAAAGGATCTGGAAGGTTCTTCTGAAGGTCCTTCTGGGAGGTGACTCCACACCTCAATCCCAGGAGGATTCTGCTCTCCTTTATCCCTTTGCTGCCTAAAAACTTGTGGAAATCAGGAGGAGCTTGGCGGATGAAGGATCTTTGAGTTTGGGAGATGAAGGACCTTTGAGCTTGGGAGATGAAGGACCCTTGAGCTTGGTTGATGAAGGACCTTTAAATTTGGTTGATGAAGGACCTCTGAGCTTGGTTGATGAAGGACCTTTGATTTGGGCTGATGAAGGACCTTTGAATTTAGTTGATGAAGGACCTTTGATTTTGGTTGATGAAGGATCTTCAAGTTTGGGAAAAGAAGGACCTTCGAGTTTAGTTGAAGAAAAACCTTTGACTTTGGCTGAAGAAAAACCTTCGAGTTTAGCTGATGAAAAACCTTTGATTTTGGTCGACGAAGAACCTTCAAATTTGGCAGGAGGTCATTTTCAA